TGTGTTTTTTTATTTATTTATTTATTTTTTTTAGTTTGATTTTTGCTAAACTGTCGCTTGCCGAAATAAATCGTATTTTAAATAAATGTAAAATGAATTTGCACGTCGAATGTGATAAAACTTTAAAACATTTGCATAACTAATTGTTTTGTAGGAAATACTAGTTTCTATTTATACTCATTCACGACAGTCGATTGAGTATATTGATTTTGCAAAGCTCTTACTTTTTTTTTTATAAACAATCTACATTGCTAGAGAAAAATCTATATTGATTTATTCATCAATGTTCGTCTGTCTTTTGTCTATTGTAGGGTCCTTTAAATATATTTATAATCCAATGCAGGAGTACTTTAGTTTACGGGTCTTCTCTCGTTATCCGTCTGAATGGACTCGATTTGATGAGTTTAATTTTGAGGAGGAACAATATCGTATATACCTTGCTGCGGTTAGGAATTATTTATATTAGGTTATCCGCCAAGCTTCATTAGAAACAGCTACGCATTAGTGTTTTCAGCTTGACTCAATTGCCCTATAAATACCTTAACAACGAAGCCAGGTCTGAATTTGTGCTGTGAGATCTGGATGTTCTGAAAGTTCGCGCAGTCTCAAAATAATGAATTTGAAAATATTTGCTGTTTTATTAGCGCTCCCAGCAGCTCTGGCTCGGGACAGCTCGGATAATTTCACATATATTCCGGTGAGTAGAGTGCGAACGGAAAAAAACAATTATGCCAAGAGCATTGTCGAACTTTTCTCAGATTGCTAAATACTTCGAGAAGGATATATCGAAAGAGTGCGTCGACTGTATGCACAGACTAGAAGTAAGCGAACGCTCAAGATTTTTGGTGCGTCAGAGGCGTTTCTACGAGACAATTTATACAATCGAGTGGCTGAAAAAAACTCTCAAGGAAAAAAATGTGACTGTTTATGGTGATGACTCGCTGGACCTGTCACAGCTAACCATCTGCTCCACTTCTAACCCTCCCAGTGCAAATGTAAAGAATCCAGCCTTTGATAAATTGAAAAGCTGCCGAGCTAATGTGGCTGCATTGAAAGAACAAAATGTGAATTTGCTTAACATTCTGGAAATGAATAATAAAACCGTCGCTGCCTACACGGCGGATCTCGGACAATGCCAAGGGAAAAGGCTCGACCTGGCAGAAGAATATTCGCTATACAAGGGTTTGCTCTTGGTTAACTCATCCAAAATCTTGCAGGAAACCGTTCATCTGGCGAATTCTGTCCAAGAGAAGATATTAGAATACAAACACTTTCATGCAGATGAAAAACATGTAAGAGGCCCAAGAGCCTCAGAACATGAAGATTATGTGACTAACGCATCCGATGAAAACATAACCATATTTGAAATTCCTAGAAATTAATAAACGAATGATTACAAAATCTTTTCTTTTGGGTAATAAAAATATTATTAATATAATAACATCTATAAAATTATTTATTGAAAGAATTTATAAATATTGTAGTCCTGGTATAAATTCTTGCAAAAGGCATGCTGATTGAAATATGTATACTCGATTCCATTGCTTATCTCGCTCGCCTTTGTGGGTGTGGCGAATGCGAATAACTAATGATCAAGGAAATCGAACGGTTTTTGAACCTTGGACGGGAATTGCGCAGTCGACTAAGCTCTACAATGTCCTGACTAGGTTTCATTCCTTTTCTTTTGCCCTGCTGTAATTAAAGCAACGCAGTAGCTGTCGAAGCTAAAAGGCAGGAAGCCTTAAGGCAGTCACAGCTGCTGATGCAGACAGAGACGAAGGAGCTCGCCTTTGAGCACAAGTGGGAAAGAAAGAAAGAAACTTTATTAATAAAAGTTTTGCCTTTGGTATTTTACCCAAGTATCATTGAAAACTTTCATATATATAAAACGTTGACAATTCTCTATGCCCGCACACACACATACACACACACACGCGCACTACTCATATGGCGACGGCTGTTCACATATTCATGCATTAAACTGTGAGCTCGTTTTTATGCATGTGACAATATTTGCTGCACTTGTTTTTGTTGTTCTTTCTTAATTTTCAATTTTTTTTTTTTTTTTTTTTTTTTTTACTTTTCGTGTGGCAAAACATTCACATAATTTTTGCCTGCAGCCCATTGACAAAGAACGTCCCACTTTAGGCATAATTGGTTCAAGTATGAAAATAGCGAATTTCATTAAACTTGGCTCAGACATAACTGCGTTCTTGTAAAATTTTATCCTAAAAGTGGAAGCATTTTGGTTGGATAGAAAGTACAAGAAGAAAGGATATTTATTCACGTATTTATTATTAGTTTGTTATTAGTTCGTTATTATTTATTTAGTTATTTATTTAGTCATTTATTTATTTTTCTTTATTTATCTATGTATTAATTTAATTATTTATTTATTTAGTCATTTATTTATTTTTCTTTATTTATCTATGTATTTATTTAATTATTTATTTATTCATTTATTTTTATTTTATTTATTTATTTTTTTGTTTCTTTCTTTATTTATTTATTTATGCATGTATGTATGTATTTTATTTATTTATTTATTTATTTTATTTATTTATTTTTTAATGATTTCTATTTATTCTAATCTTATTTTATTATTATTATTATTATTATTATTATTACTATTATTATTATTATTATTATTATTATTATTATTATTTTTTTTTTTTTTTTTTTTTTTTTTTTTTCTTTTTATTAGATTTTTGATTTGTTTTGTGTTTGTTTATTTTAATCCATCTATTAAACAACTTTAACGCTTTTATATATACGTTTACATATCTAGCTATATTAGTACCGATATATTATTATCATTTACTCATACAAGACAGATGCACAAACGAATGGCAAAGAGTAGATTTCATTTCTGCTACAGATTTCTCATTATACAATGCTTATCCATCATGTCCCAATATTAATCGATTCTCTATACCTCATACATTTATTCAATTGCTTTCTCTTAACACAATTTGCATGGATGTCTTTCTCTTTGTCAAAGAGTTATCATCTAACCACTGACTCCATAATCTTACAGCTACACTCAGCTCAGGCTTAAGGCAAGGCAAAAAGGCCCGAGGTATGTCGAAAGCATCTTTAGACCGCAAAAGCCGAGGCTCCAGCAATGCCCGTTTTCCCTCAGTGATGACGATAAGTGGCCAAGGCAGCAAATGCCTCTCATCCTGGCCCAGGCTGGCACTACGAATGCCGTTAGGCTTTGAGCCACAGAAAGACAGATAGTGAGTGAGAGAGATGGGGTGAGGGCAAGATTGTAGTCGTGTTGTAGTTGTAGCAGCTCTCAAACTATTTGCACATTGAGTGCTTGCATATTAGCATGGAAAAGGGAATATCTAATGAGCTGCTGCGTACCGTCCATTAACAGGCAAAACGCATTTTCTCAAAGTTTAGTTCCATTAGGGTACACTCCGACTTCAGATTCTTCGGCGACTACTATTTTTCCTATTTACCAGACACTCACTTAGCTAGACAAACTAAAACAACTAATTAAAGTAAAGCAACAACAACAACAGCAACAGCAACTGCAGCATCAGCAGCAATTTTGTTGACCAGTTAGGCGGAAGTAATTGCTGTTGTAAGTGCCCAGGATACAGATACATGCTGAGAATTGCAGACACAGATACATTTGCCAAGCAATCAGTGCCAGCGACCACAGCTGGCGACTTCGCTTTGACACATGAATATGCAAATATGAGACAATCATCTCTCCCAGCAACGCATCGCATCGCCTCGCATTGGTGTCCACCATTTGCTACTTACTTCGATTCGCTGCGCTGCTGTTCATTAATTTGCAGGACTCTCTGAACTGAACATCGTTTCGGTCTTGGCTGACTTTGTTGCCTCTTAATTGATTGCAGCCATTTGGGCAAGCATCACCTGCTGTCCTGTGTCCCCTGTCCTCTGCCCACTGCATTTCATGGTGTGAATCTTTGCGCCCGTATCTGCATAAATTAGTGCGAATATACTCTCCCTGACAGCTACGCCATATTTGTTAATTAAAATTGAAAACAATGGAAATCTTGCCTAGCTCTAAATAGACTTTCTGCTGAACTGATAATGTAACTCTCAAATATGTAGAAAACTCCAAGTTTTACATTCAACTTTCTCGTGCGACATTTAACCTAGAAACTTTCCCTACAAAGAAAATTCTTAGCATTAATTTATAAGCTAATGCATATTATTTTTTTCTTCAAAAATAAGGCTAAATAAAGCCTGCCTCAAAGCTACAATTTTTTTAGTCTGCTGCCGAAACCACAGAAGTTATATAAATCTTTTGTCACATTTAAAATCTTTTTGGTAGGAGACTTTATGTTTAAATTAAATTATATCAAATTCAATTAAGAAACTCGACCTAAAAATTCGGTCGTGAAATAAATAAATATGATACCATATTTCAATACAAAGCATATACTTTATATTAATAAGCGTAACGAATATATTAAATATTTTTTTAAAAATTTTTAAGAAAATAAAAAAAAAGTGTCCTTAAAATCATGGTAATTTATATATATATAATTTCAATAACCTATTTTTGTAATTACCTAATATATAAATTTTTATTTTTAATATTTTTAAAAATATTTTAGTATTCAAACCTGTTTTATATAAATATATATGTATATATTGAAATATGTATTTGTACTAAATACTAAAATTGAAAAAATATATAGAATAGAATCCGGTTATAAGACGCCGCTTATAGCATCTGTACGTTTAAAGCGACGAAAATTCTGGTCCACAGACAAACTTTTATGAGCAAACTTATAGGGTTATAGCGCGTTCCGGGTATAACGACGGTCTCTTGAGTGTCGCTATTGCCGGATTCTACATATATTATTATATAGTATATATATTCATTTATATTTAGTATTGCCAGCTATTTAAAGAAGCCAAAAATATTGTGCATTGTATTCAGATTCTCTTGAAAATATCAATAAAATAATATGCCATGTATAAATCTGAGAGTCTTCTCTGTTATAATGAATTACTTAGTTTCAGCGGAACTGTATGTCCACTATATACATAGATGACTTATCAGCAAAATTCTAATAAAATTCTCAAAGCTTTTCGACTTTTATTTTGCTTTGTTTATTTACTAATATAAATTCTGCTTAAATACATATATGTTAAATGAGAATATGCATTTCATACTGGGGCTGATATGGGCCTTATCATGAGCTGTACGAATTTGAGCGTTTCTTCGAAGCCATGCCATTGATGCCAGATGATGCCTTTGCCGCGTGTACTGATGCTGAGCTGCCTTCTCTTAAAGTACTTGCCATTGGGATTGCTAAGTAAACAATAAATACTTAATCATTAACAGAGAGAGTGAGGGAGAAAGACCTACCAGAAAGCCGAGCAGGAGGCGTACCACCAGGCGCTGTGGTATCTGCGGGCGCAGTTGCCCCCCAGCCAGGTGTCGTTGTCCTTGTCGGCCGTGGAAAACCTCTGCAAGACATTCAGGGCCATCGAGTTGCCAGCGGTGCCCTCGTACTCGCCCAAGGACTTGAGCTGGTAGAAGCTCTCCTCGCTGCCAACGCTGAAGTTATCGTAATGCGCATAGCGCACCTCGCCCTCAAAGTCCTCCAGGTAGACGAAGAGCTCGAAGCGGCGCAGCGCCGTCAGCCGATGCAGCTTTTCCAATCCGATGAAGAACTCGCCACTGAGCGAGCCGAAGCCAGCTCGGTACTCGGTCCAGTTGCGATAGAAGTCAACGCTGCCATCCATGCGCCGCTGAATAACCAGCCAGCCGGAGCCGGCAAAGCGCGCATCGCACGGTACATAGAAGGGGTCCTGCCCCGGCAGCCTGATCCTGTAGATGCCCGTGGCACTGCCAAAGGGCAGACAGCTCTGCGGCAAGTACTCCTCCAGCTCCGAGTCGTAAGCCCTCAGCTTGAGCTGTGCTGCTCGCAGATTCAACAAGTTCTCTTTGTTCTGTGCGCGTAGCTCCAGAATTTCTTTGTCTTTCTCTTTCAGCTGCAACTGCAGCTCCGAGACTTGAGTCTGTTCCTCCCCGCCCCCAGCTAAACTGATCCTGCAGCTAGTCAAATTCTGCAGCAGTATAGCTGAATGATCTTCTCTCTCCTTGAGCCGCTCTGCCACTGCCTTTGCCTTTGCCTCGCAGGCACTCAGCCAGCTCTTCTGCTCGCTGATGTAGGAGTCGCAAGGCGCCTCAATCTGATCTGTGCTTCCATTTCTCACAGAGTTCCATTTGGCTTCCAGCTGTTGCAGCTCTTCATTGTTCTGCTGTATCAGCTCTTCCAGCTGATCTATTCTCACCTTGAGTTCATTTCTCTCCGCGGTAGCGGCTCTGCTGCTCACCACAATACACAGCCAAATGTAGTATTTAAATATAGAATAATATGTGCTCATTGTGCGTATGTGTCACAAACTGAAACTCTAAGCTCATATTTTCATAGAAATCGCATTCGTATTTGGCGCAGCCTAAGAGAATTTCAATAGCATTGAGCGCTATCAGCTGAATACACTGAGCAAAACTATTAGGTTCATGAGAGAACACAATACAAAAAAAATTATTTAAATAAACACACATGCATACAATACATAATATATAAATAAATAAATATTTTTGTGGTCACAGAATATTTTAATCAAACTATTTTATTTTAAATAATTTTTTCAAGCATTGCACATTTGTTTTTAGCAACATATTTATTATAATCCAAGTTCTTATACGGGTTCTTTGAAGTCTTTGGGTCTTATCATCATGATAACTGATTTCAACGAATAATCCGACTCATGAAAATCGCTATCCGCCCAAAAGATGCCCTTATTGGCATAATCATACTCCAAGTCCGCCTCGGTATAAAAACCATTCAAGTTGCTGAAAATATAGTAATTAATATATATATTGTTCATATATGATACGTATGAATAAATAATATAAATAATACACAAGATCATGAATATTAATAAATAGTAAATAATTTAGAATTTATGTATAATAAATTTAATTTAATTATGAACTTGAAACGAATATTATGAACAAGATTAACTCCAAAGTGAATATTTCCTCAAGTAGACAAATATATACAAAGTTTATCTAAATAAGTGTATGTATGTTTGTACATATATATTGCTCTTGAAATTGCTCCAGTTGGCATACCTGTAGCCGCAATGGTCATACCACCAGGCGCCATGCCGGAGCTCAGCGCAGTTGTTGAGCTCATCTGCATCGTTGTCTCGATCGAAGGTGGTGAACTTTTGGCCCCTGCTCAGGCGCATCGCATCCTTGACGGTGCCCTGGTGCTTGCCGAGCGATAGCAGGGCATATGCCTCCTCCTCGGAGCCTATTTTGAGGTCGTCGAAGCTGGCGCATCTCGTATTGTTGCTAAAGTCCTCCAGCCAGACGTACAGCTGCTGGGGCGTGTCCTTAGTCATGTGATGCAGTCGCTCCAGCCCAATGAAGAACTCGCCGGTGGCATTGCCGAATCCCCTCTTGTACTCGTCCCAGCTGCGATAGAAGTCCACCTCGCCGTTGATCCGGCGCTGTATGACGGTCCAGCCATTGCCGGCCAGTTGGCTATTGCAGAGCACTTGGAAGGGCTCCGGCACGCCATTCACCTGGATCACGTGCACAGTGTTGGAGGCGCCGTATGAGACGCAGCTCGATGCCTGGCAGCAGCTGCCGTAGCCCTCGATGATTTCATTCAAGTGCTTGATACTCTCGTTCCCCGCACTGAGCTGCGCCTTCAGCTCGTCAGCCTGCTTGCTCAGTGCTTCTATGGCAGCACTGGATCTGACTAGTTCTGCCTGCATGTTGATCGTATTCCGGGCTTGGCCCAGCTCTTGTAGCTGCAGCACATTCGCCTGTTTCAGTTCCAGGACTGAGCTGCTCTGGTTGCTCACAAGCTTACTCAAGGCGTCTATCGTTTTGTTTTGTTTGTCGACTTCAGCTTTCCTCTCGCTCAACTCACTCTCCAGTAGCCCATTTCGACTGCTTATCGCTGCGATGGTTTCATTACTTTCCCGCAGCTGGATCAGCGTGCTGTTCAGGGCAATCCCGAGGCTGCATAGCTTTTGTTCTCTCTCCTTCGCTTCGCGCTCACAATTAAATAGCAAATCACCTCTACTTATAATTGTGGCCGTGTGCTCGATAATTGTACTCTGCACTCTTGTTGAACTGCAGATTTCGCACCAGCTTGTCGTAGATATTTATGGCCTGCTTTTGATCCTGAATTATCTTTTTAGCCACGCTCTGATATTGCACCAATTTATCTTGAATCGCTTCACATTTTCCCAAACCTGAGCTTGATTGATGGGCTTCTGCTCTTGCTCTCGACCGACCAGCGCTGGCCACAACTAACAGCGCGAATATAGCAAACACACAAATTTCACTCCGCATCTCACTCGGCCTGTTCGTCAACTTGTTTGGCTTGTGATATTTGCAAGCTCATAATACATACAGTATATATACTTAGTAATCCAAACGATCTGACATTTCACCCCAAAATTACTGTACTAAATGAATATAGTATAATTTCAAAATAAATAAAAAATGTATTTAGTGCTGATTAAATCCAGATTTCTACTCTATTCAGCAGTTGTAAGGCTTAAGTCTTGGAATTTGAGTTTGTTCCGCGTAGGAAGGCTTTACTGTGGCTTATCTTGAACGTCTGTGAGTTCTCTGCATATAGTATTTGCGCTATATATTCATACGATTTGTTCTGAATTTCCAGCTTTGTATATATAAATATATATGAATATACAAATTCTGATAAGCTCAGTGAGTTTAATATACATATATGCTTAATTAAAGTATACATATAATATGTAGTATAGTATATATAAATTATAAAATAAAATGTATGCAAAAGCTTTGCTTGCTGTTTCTATAGTAAATTAATAATTTGAATAAAATCTTTTCATATTGAAGCTTTTAATACGCTGAAGCCATTGAAAGCTGAGTATTAATGGCAGACCAAATAAAGTATATATATTTTACAGCAGGACGGTGAGCCGAATCAATTTAGCTATATGTTCGTTAATGACAGATGACGTAACATAATTATTTGGGGAAAAGATACAAACAATTACTTACTGCATTTATAATGATATACAGTATATATCAATTAACTTTCCCCAAATAATTATGTTATGTCATATTAGTAAATAAATAATTAAGTAGAAAAGGCCTATAAAAAATTATCAGTCTAAACTCTTTAAAAATCTGTAGTTTAGCTAAGAAGAAATAATTTGAAATTAAAATTGAATAATTTTTTATTTCAATTTATATTTATATGTATGTCGAATATTTTTATTTATTTATTTATAGGGGACACTTTATTTTTAATCAATTTACTGCATACAAAAGTGTTGTGTTAACCTTTTTTTTTTATTATTATTTAAGAGTACAGGACTCATTGTCCTTTTCTACTTAAATATAATTATATTTTTATAATATGGAAATTGATTCTTTAGAGTTTAACATACATATATGGGAAAAATTGATATAAAAACCCCTTTAAAAAAACTTAACTTGCCTTAAAACTCGAGTATATATCTTTTATTTATAAACAAATGAAAATAAGTGAAATGAAATCCAGATCCAACCGAGTTTCAACCCTTTTTCACATGGGATCTCTTTAATCATATTTCTTGTAATTCAGTTTAATGTCTTTTCAATTTTGATGTGCTTGACGCTTTAAGAGCTGCGGCGCCAGCGACGCCCGCATCAATTAAATGGTTATATTTTATTAAAAGTCTCAAACAAAAGACGCAATCGCATTGCCATGGCAAATAGATGGTGCAACTGAGCGTATACGCAACGTGCAACAGTACGCGAGCCATTGGAGTGTGGGCGTGGCAGGCAGGCGTCCTTTGGGAGTTGCCATAACGCTGACGCAGCAGCCCCGCAGCCAAGTCGAGACGCCGCGACGCCTGCACTTCACAGACAAGTGCTGTGGATGGGGCGTGGCGTGGCGTGGCGGGGCGAGGCAGGGCAGGAGAGGAGCTATGAAGGGGCGCCTAGACAACGCTGTTATTTATTCCGGCTTTGTCTACCTTTTTTATTTATGTTTGGCAGACGCCAATTTTCATGGCGGCGACGGCGGCTGAAGCAACGGCTTTGGCTTTGGCTTTGGCTTTGGCTCTGGCTCTGGCTCTGGCTCTGACTCTGGCTATCCAAAGGATGCAGCTGTGTGCAGGTGTGCAGGTGTACAGGTGTGCAGGGGTTGACCACGTGATTCTGTGTGCCAGCCAAGTGGAAAATAAAAGAAATGCCAAGCAGCAGCCGACACGTTGTAAGCTCACCTTTGATTGTCTTAGCCCGGTCAGACTTGGCCAAGTAATGAAAGCTGCCCTCAGTTAAGGGTTGAGTTTGAGGAGAGACAAAGAGAAAGAGAGAGAGAGAGAGAGAGAGAGAGAGAGAGAGATGGAGTCGTTGGCTGTGCTGTAAATATTTTAGCTGCGAAAATTCTTTTGGTTTCTGCCTTTGTCTTCTCCCGCTCGAATTATAACGTTACAATCTTAAATTGTTTGTCATTGGGCCAGCTTGCGCTTAAAGCCAACTATTCTTGATTAAAAAACTTTTCGGCCAGCCAAAAGCAAAACAAATTCAAAAAGCGGCAGCTAGCAAAAATCAATAACATAAGCCGACAGCTGCCTCCATCGAAGTGGCGCGAACTAAGTAATCTAAGCCACAAAGCACAGCCGCAGAATGCGTGCGGGTGGGGCGGTGGGAGGGGTGGCATGGCATCTGTGGCGGATGGAGAGGGGCACATAAATTCAAGATGTGGCCATAAGATTTATGACGATTGCGAACGTGGAATTTCGACAGAGTCCGCATAGACAAAAGTGGCCAACAGAAAATGCCGCAACATTTGTGCGCGCCTCTGGCCTTTGAACTTCTTTGCGAGGGCGGCAGCGTGCTGGGCGTGGCCGGACAACAATTTACAGTAGGCATATAAAATGTGCATAAAAATTGAAACGGCTGGCGGGCGCACACAGCGTATACTTTACGCATTTTAAGTTTCAATTTCACAGCACATAAAAATGGCGGCATGGCCGTTTTATGGCCACTTCCGCTGACCAAGAAGCACCAAGGCATCCGTAGCCCCTAAGTGATTTCTAACATAAAACGCATTAGAGTCAGACATCCGACATCGGACATCGGCCATCAGACATCAGACGTCAGACATTAGACGTCAGACAAATATGATAAATTCCCTCTATATGTAGACGACTGGATGGCTTCAAATCGAAATTTGTCGCGCTTTTATTTACTACTCTGCCACTTGATGACGGATGCTGATGCTGAGTGATGCAAAATGCTTTCTTCCATGTCATCGGCTCCCCACGCCCCTCTCATGCCCTGTGCAACGAACTGTCAAAGTCGTTCGGGCCACGGTCTCATAATCCGGCTTATTATGCAAAGTAAATGCCCGCCCCCCGCCAGACATCAGATAATCTTGCTGATATTTCATTGTCGTCGTCGTCGAGGCTTGTAAATGTGTTAACAGCCACGCCTACTCCCCGCAGCCCTGTCTTACACCAATTGCGAAATATTTCCGTTTCCGGTTTGTTGTTGTCGCCCTTGCACTTGGACCTCGACCCGTAGCCGCTTATAGTGCCGGACAATTTGCTCAGATTTTTCTTTTACGATGTGGCTCGTCCATATATATTTTCTTTTTTTTTATACATCCACCACATATATGGAAATTCTCGAATTTATTATGCCCTCGTCCGATTGTCTCGCGTAATTTTCCAATTTCCATAAACGGTTTCAATTTCGCCATTTCCTTCATCTCTTTTCCCTCTCTCCTCTCCGCTTGTGTTTTATCATCGTGTTGATGTGTCGGACGAAAGGGTTTCTCAATTCGGCAATGGGTTCCCTTACGCCTCATTAACATATTAAATGGTTCCTTAAAGCTGATGGAGTATCAAATTATACGACTGTAGCCAAGACTATGCCGTATTATGGACACGTTACACTCCATTTCTATTACGAGTCGCAGTCACTGGGGCGAGAGCCTCTCGACGGTCTTTAACATTTCTCTATTTCAATTTGCATTTTTATTCATTTTGTTTGGATCTCGTATATTTCGTTGTTATAAAAAGTGAGATTGCGGCAATTGGAATGACTTAGGGAAACTCATTGCAAATATAATTTGCAATGAAAATTATTTTATTAAATTATGACAGCCATAAAATTGTGCTATAAACAAAGATTTCCAGAGTGTGAAATAGTTATACGGATTGGCAATTTAATCGAAGACACAAATGTTAATAAAAATAGTCCTAAAAAGAACATTTATTAAAATTTTTGCCCTTCTTTCTATTTTGTTTCTTATTATTTATTTATTATACTAAGTTCATTCTCTTCTCGATGTTTTGATAGTATCATACAATTTGAAGCCAAAAAGAGGAGCCCCTATACATGCTATATAGCGTATCACGCCTCAAAGTCGCAGAGTTCTGAATCTCATTAAAGTGAACAATAAGCCGAATAAAAAGAAAAACCAAAATCGATAATTAATTATATATTGTATTATTTATATCTGATTGTTCTCCCTTTAATCATGTATTCCATGCATATCAACATATATGTATATACTTCATATGATATTTGCAAGGTCTTCTCAAAATCTTTATCTTTAGCATAATTTTTAGAGGTTGACGCGTATTTTGCTTGGCAAATACATACATACACATATACATATGCTTCACATGCCAAAAATCTGATGACACAGCCGTCGCAGTTGATCGTCTGCTTCGTGTTCGTGCAGTGCATATTGAGCAGTTGCTTCTCTGTCCTTCTCCCTCTCTTTCTATCTCTTTCTATGCAACTAAATGACTTCATTATGTGTGCTCAGCCATGCAAATTCGCAACTGATTTTGTGCCCAAATCACATTGTTGAGTTGGAAAGGAACGTATGGAATAATGCAAAAGCCAAAAAGAAACGATTTAAAAACTCTAAAATTAAGCTATCATCAGGTTTTACAGCACCGTCCCTTTCTCTCTCTCTCTCTTTGTTTCGCTATAAGGTGGCAAGACATTCAAGTACAATATGTGTATAAAAAAGTCAAAAAGAAATAAGTGCAATGCAATGTCATTAAAGTAGACAAGCAGACAGCGACGATTGCGGGGCATGAACGGCGTCTGACGATGACTATGACCAACATAAAATCACAACACACTCAC